ATGTGAGGGGCGCCTGGGTGGCGCAGTCGGTTAAGCGTCCGGCTTCAGCCAGGTCACGATCTCGCGGTCCGGGAGTTCGAGCCCCGCGTCAGGCTCTGGGCTGATGGCTCGGAGCCTGGAGCCTGTTTCCGATTCTGTGTCTCCCTCTCTCTCTGCCCCTCCCCCGTTCATGCTCTGTCTCTCTCTGTCCCAAAAATAAATAAAAACGTTGAAAAAAAAAATTAAAAAATAAAAGCCATGTGAGAGGGTGTCCTTCTAGTAGGGCTCAAAGACACTCACCGTACTCCTTAACTCTTAGCTCAGTTGTTGCCACAACCCAGAATTGAACCCTCCCTGGGGACATATCCTAGCCTGCACCAGCAGACGTGTTGATAAACAAATGCATGTGCAGAACTGAACAACGCATTTGTGGGCTGGTCTGGGCAGTGCAGAATGATACCCTATGGTTAAACCCTCAACTATGGAGTCCCACAGCCCAAACCATACTCCCTGCCCCACTGATTTCTAGCCATGAGTTCTCAGATAACTTACTACATTTTTCTAAACTCAGTTTCTCCATCTGCAAAATGGGGAAACAATGGCTCCTACTCTGGGGTGTACTGGAGTTTGTAATACCAATTAACTGTACATGTAATAAAGCACATCACACAGAACAAGCACTTAAGACGTGCTGCTTCTCATGTTGATTATTCCAGCAGAAGTTCGGTATTCGAGGGACAGAGGTGTGGACGTTTTCACTCAAGTAACCACTCCAAAGGCGGGGTAGGGTGGACTGGTCCGAAATAGTGGCTTCTCAGGCCTAACTGGGTAGTTTCTGGGTTGGCAGCTACTGGAGCCTGACCTGGGGACAGATGAATAATCTAAACAAGAGCATAAAACAAAACAGTAAGATCCCATGGACAACATCGCTGCAGGTTCCATGCCGATAGGTGGAGTTCTGAATTTGGAGGTGGGGAGGGGAAGCTTCCAGTAAAGAGGCTGGTATGCAAAGCAGGCTAAGAAAAAAATATTAAGCCAGGAGGTGTGCTTTTGCAAGGATTTTAAAAAATTCCTGCTGTTGTTGGGGAGCCTGGGTGGCTTAGTTGGTTAAGTGTCTGACTTCGGCTCAGGTCATGATCTCACAGGTCATTGGTTTGACCCCCCGCCCCCCACCTCCCCAACAGGCTCTATGTTGACAGCTCAGAGCCTGGAACCTGCTTCAGACTCAGTGTCTCCTTCTCTCTCTGCTCCTCCCCCACTAGCGCTCTCTCTCTCAAAAAATAAACGAACATTAAAAAAAAATTCCTGCTGCTGTTTATTGAGTTATTAACTCTTTGCCTAGAAGTAGGCTGTCCCACCCCCCACCCTACGCAGCCGAAACTTAAGGCTGGGTCTCCCCTCAGCCAGGCCACCAGGGAGAGAGGGGCCTCCCCTCCCCACCCAGCCTCTGGAAATGTATTGCTTTCAAAGCCACAACTGGCAGCTGACCTCAACACAGACTGGCAGCACTGTCCTACAGAAATGGAACGTAAGCCCCATATGCAATTAAAATTTTTCTATTAGTCACATTATAAAAGTAATAAACAGGCCAAACTAACCAGGATAATATAGTTGACGTAACCCAATATATCGAAAACATTTTCGTTTCTACAAGTAATCAAAATGAAAGATTTACTAATGAGGAATTATTTTACATTCTTTTTCTTCATAGTAAGTCTGCAGACTCCAATGTGTTATTTTACACTTATAGTGTATCTCAGTTCACACTAGCCTCGTTTCAAGTGCACAACAGCCCAGGTGGCTAGTGGCTGGTGGCTCAGGTGTTGGACAGTGTGGGCCTAGAGCAGTGGGCCGTGCTCTGGCCCAGAAATTCCCAATCCAGTCACCTGAATCACCAGGGGGGAGGGGTGGTGCCCTGTGCAAAATATGACATCCCTGCCCCACCTCGGAAGGCCTCAGTAAAAGGCAACTGGCTTCCTTCCAAGTTCCGCTGCGGCACAAGCTGCCACCCACGCAGCCCGGTCCCCACGGTCTCTCTACAAGAGTCACACAAGGAGGCTTACATTTAAAAAATACTCACCAGCATGCTAGCTTGGTATCTGTATGCACAAAAAGGTAGGAGACCAAAGAATGTCTCCCACAGGCAGGGGGATTTACTGGGCCGGTGAGTTAAAATGCCCTCCCTTCCTTATGCAAGCTCGTCTATTTGTCTATGGGGTCTGAACTTGGCCCCAGCTTCAACATGGCTTTTCTCTTTTTCTTTGTGCATAGTCATGAGCACCAAGGACACTCTCTTCCCCTTGTATTTGAAAGCATAAAGATGGAAGATGTTTTAAACACAAATTATGGTCCAATGTGGGTGGGGGGGGTATTTTAAGTTCTTCCAAGGGGCAGAAATATTTCTGGGGCTATTATTCCCCTGTGGATATTCAGTAGGGTGTTTCAAATTCCCTCAAATCGGGCCCTCTGCAGCCATCACCTTATCTCTCTCCTAGGACTCTGGCCAGAAAGGAGCCCCTTGAACCTGAAGGAGGTGAACGGAGGATGCCTATGAACACCCACTGCAGGTCACTTCTCCCGCCCCCACTGTACCCGGGTTTCCTGTGTTCTGGGGTAAGCCTTTCTGGTTTTAGCCTTACTAGCTGGGGTGCCTAACTGAAACCTCTCAAAGGAAAAGTCTGACACACCAGTATGGAAAAGTTCTCTTATCATTTGGAGAAAATAATTTAGGGCTGGGTAGATAAACATGTACAGGAAATACTTCTATAGAGGTCTTGATCCTCTGAAGATTAATAACCCACGGAACAGACCAGCCTCAAACTCAGAGGAAATAGGCAAGTTATAAAAACAGGAAGAACGGGAAGTTTATTTTTGGATGAATATTTGTTCTAGTGAAGCTCTTGATACTGACAAAAACCTTGATCTGCAGGTCATTTGCTACAGCTGAGCAGCTGCAGTGCATGTTTCCACAAGCTGTCCCACCAGAGATTTCCGGGTCTTTCTGGAAAGGGCCTCACCCCACTCCTGCAAAACATCTGCCTTGCTGCCACTGGCTTAAGGATTCCTTTCCCCTGCATTCCTGTTGGTGAATGGACTCTCCGGCCTCACGAGAAACCCCAGCCATCCTCAACGGCCCGCTCCACTTTTGTCCCCTGCCTCGAGGCAGCCCATCTCCACCACCTGTGTCATTTGGAGCTGTGCGCATCTGCCACCTCTGTTCCAGCACGACTGGGGCAGCCTCCCGCCACGGACGGCCAGCCCCCTGGGTCTCACCAGCCTCTCTGGTTCTCCTCTACAACCCTATCACCACCCCCGGCATGCTTCCCACTGCTTCTAGAATACAGTCAAATATTCTCCAGTTTGACAGACACAGCTCTTCACAATCTGCCTCAACCACTGTGACAGCCTGATCTCCAAATGCAGGACTGACTACATGAATTGCAGGGCCTCGTACAAAAGGAAAAACATGAACAGAAAGAACTTCAGGATGGCAACCACCGAACATTAAACTAAGCAAGGTGGGGCCCTTGTAAGTGCGAGGCCCTCAGGCCCCTTCCTATGTCTCCCTCAAACCCACCCCAGAAGGCAAAAGGCACTACCATTACCGATAAAAGCCCTTCTCACCTCTCTTCACCCTCACTGAAACTCGTCCCTCCTCTCAAAGAAGACTTCAAAACAAGGAAACTGGCTCCCAATCTTTTTTGTTTGTTTGTTTGTTTTTATTGAAATTCCAGTTAGTTAACTTACAGTGTAATATTAGTTTCAGCTGTACAATATGGCAATTCAACACTTCCATTCGTCGGCCGGTGCTCATCACAAGTGCCCTCCTTAATCTCCTCCTCAGCTGCCACCCACTTAAGTGACCCATTCACGTGCCCCTGGCACTGAGCTCTCTGGTCCTCATTTACAGTATGGTTATTTATTTACCTGTCTCTCCTCCACACCTGAATCAGACCAACAGTCCCAGGGCTCTGAGTTCACGGCTTAGTCATTTGTGTGCCCTCCCTTCCCACCTTTCCAGAGCAAGAGTTGGTACACGTGAGGACTACAATAAATCTCTACTGAACGACCACTAGGAATAATGCCCTCTCCTTCTAATGGTCACTTATGGGGCCTCCTCTGACCTTGCCAAATGACCAGCGAGAGGAGAAATTTTAAAAATCCCCTGAAGACCTTGCTTTTACATAAGAGAAGATGCCCGGGCCCTCCAGAGGCAGAATTACACAACGAGCTTGAGGGCGTCTGAACAGGAACTTCCATTAACTACCATTATGAAACCTACTGGCCAGACACAAAGGCTGCACATGTTGACTTTGGCAGCGGCTTCACAGGTGGCCCAGCTGGCGCAGTGGCAGAAAGCTCACCACCTCCTTGGCTGCTGCCAGCACCATGGGGGGCATGGAAGAGGGATGGTAAACAGGAGAGCCAGCACTGCCTTCTTTCGTTTTACCCCATGTGACAGAGGGGTGGGCACAGCCCGGAGAGGAAGAAGGTGATCAATGTTTAATTCCCTACCAACTGCCATTGGGAAGTAGAACAAAGGCATAAGCCTTGCGGTTTTTGTTTTTACCTAGAAACTTTAAATGAGATCTCATTTCCCTTGAAACGATTACCTCTTCAGGGAAAACGCTTGTGAACCCATAAGTTCTCTTTGAGCAAAGAAGCAGAATGAGGTAGGGAGAAGAGATGAACCGTGACCACCACTACCCCTTAAATGCGAACTTGCTTTATTATTCTTTAAGAGGAAGAAAAACATTGGAAATCCCAAATAGCTTCCTAAACATTCAGGCAAAGTTGATTTTTCCAGCAATTGGCAACCGACCATGCTCATGGGAGATGGTGAGGCCAAGAGGAGGGATGATATCGTTATCAGAATAAGCACAGGCATTAAACTTTGTGTGCCCTCTAATATTAGAAGATCTTCCCCAAATTTAGTCAAGGAACATCCCTCCCCCAACAGGCCATTCAATGACAATAACAACAGCAACAGCAGCAGCTACCTTTTACTGAGCCGGTGAGTAAGGGCTGAGTCAGTTATTCTCCATCATGTCTCTGCTGGCGCTGGGGACGATCTGCACTCTCCTTGTTTACTGCCTTCCCCACTCAGTGTGCAGCTCCCCCATAAGCATGTAAGGTCACCTCTGAAAACCCAAGACCCAGAACGGTACTGCCAACCTAGTAAAGTCTCAATGTGATCTCAGATTTGTCAAAAAACAGATCATCTCCATCCTTCCAGGGCGGTTCCCATTCAATAAAAGAAGAGAAATCAAGTAACACACTCAGGGTGTCAAAGGGAGGACATTTCAGGTTTTGGTCCTTCAGCTACCATTCTGTATGTTCAGAACAGTTTGTTTCAGAAGTCCCGGGCATTAAAGCATCCTTTACAATGTTCATTGTAGAGACCCGTTTTCTCTGCCACATTCCACTCAGCAAACGTTTCCCACATATATTCCTTAAGAGCTACTTCCCCCCACCCCCTAAGTTGAAGCTGGTTTTAATGTTACAGAAAAAGACTTGGATTGCAAGGTACTCAGCAAATGCCCTAAGTATCTAAAAACCCCAAGGCAGGGGGTGGGACTCTTCCCCTGTGACAGGATGATTCTGTGGCCAGTATGCTAAAAACCTCATGTAGAATGGCTTATGTGGTAGGCACTCAATCGATGCTGATCCCCTCACTTGCTGTCATAGGAGGTGACAGGAGGTGAAAGTCCAAATGGCTACCAGAACAAATCTCCCCCTTAGTCTGGACTCACAGCTCTTGGCTGTGCTTTCTCTTTCAGGAATACAGTCACTGTTCTCCACTTCGGACCACGGAAAAGGAAGCAGGAACTCCCTCCAGAGGCTTCTAATTTTCCTATCTAATAATCTGTAACCCTACTCAGTTAGTTTTTAGTCTCAGTTTACTGACAGAGAGCAACAGCTAAATATATTCAATTCTGATACTAATGAATGAAAAACACAAATTTCAAAACATACCAGGTAAACGCTTCAAAATTATTTTTGAAGTAAATAGGACCTATGTAGCAAGGTTAGGTAATTGTGTACATGTGAACTCCAAAGAGAAGATACTACAGCATTTGGTTAAACTTTAAAATCAGAAATATTAAAATAATTAACCTTACACAAATAATGCATATTTGTTTCCAATTTAGATCTAACCGTTTAGACTACTCACTAAAAATGCGAACTTTAACCTAAAATACGTGTTGACCTAAAAAGGGAACTTACAAACTCTGTAAAACCAGGGAAAGCAAACACCTCAAAGCCACCGTTAGTTAGCAATGAGGCTCCTGTCTTAAGGACAATGCGAGGTTTGGTGCATGACAGAGCCAAAGAAGAACGAGGCCAGAGCCTCACCCGTGAGCTATTTCCATACGTGTTTAGGAGGGAGAAGTGAACCTGAGTGCATCCAGAACTGACGGAATTCTGAATCTGAGCCCTCGAGGTAAGGATCACATTATCCCCCAGCCGGGGCAGAACCAGAGACTTATCAGTGCCTGACAAACAAGGCTGGGTGAGGTGATGCCAGCCCAGGGCACCATGTGGGCGGGCTGCCCCACCCAGCCCATGCCTGCCTCCCAGCTAAGGTCTCTAAATTAGCCAAGGCCCGTAGGCTTGTGACTCCATTTTCAGTGACTTCTGGAGCCCACAGAGTGAGGACCCTCATGAAAAGCTCTACTGTTTGCCTTGATGACGGTGACATGTCTTCTCACTGGGGTGTTTACTGTGTGTTCTTAGGGTCTGTTACCAACGGGGCAGTTAGTCAGGCCCTTCCAAAGACTCTCCCAGCAAGATGAGGGGCCAAGACTACGGGGGGTTGGGGAGAAGGGAGACAGTTCATCCGCCAAACACACACACACACACACACACACACACACACACTCCCTATTGTGTTCTTGGTCGTTTCCTAGTACCCAAAACAAAACCTAATCCCTAAGCATGTGGTCCAATATCATACATGTATATGTTACATTATAATATTATATATTTAGAATACATTATAATTTAAATGATCTCTCTCAGCCTAGCTCCTAGCCCATCTTCCCCCCATTGTCCTTGGTTTAGAGGTAACACTGCTCTATTGGGTAGCCACACAAGCCACCAATTCGGCCAGTACCCACAGGCAGTGCTGGTGAATTACCTGGGGCAGCTGATTCTGGTTGGGGGATGGGGGAGATTCTGCATTTCTTTTTTTTTTTTTTAATTTTTTTTTTAATGTTTATTTTTGAGACAGAGACAGAGACAGAGAGCAAGCAGGGGAGGGGCAGAGAGTGAGGAAGACACAGAATCGGAAGCAGGCTCCAAGCTCTGAGTTGCCAGCACAGAGCCCGACGCGAGGCTCGAACTCACAAACCGCGAGATCAATCATGACCTGAGCCGAAGGCAGCCACTCAACCGACTGAGCCACCCAGGCGCCCCAAGATTCTGCATTTCTAACGACTGCCCAGGGATGCTGGCCCTGCGGAGGGAGCTGGGTACTGGGCTCTGGAAATCCTGGCGGGCCCAATCTGTCCCCTTCTATATAGCTTCTCAGGCCTCCACCCCTTTTTCCTCTGAGGATGAGAGGCCCTTTGCTGTACGGTTCTACCCCAGCATCAGGAATCCACCTGGCAATTCTCCCCTGTTCTCACCCTAGCAGATGCCTCCTCACCCTTTCAGAGACATCAGTACAAAGATGTATTAGTCCTTTTTTTTTTTTTTAGGAATATCTTCCCTTGGGAAGCATGGTCTTTCCTTTGAACACTAAAAATTCTGAAGATACTCTTTTATAATTTAGAAAGAATAATTTTGCTACATTACTTCCCTCTTCCCTCCCAAAAAAGTGTGTTAAGGGGAGGGAGGATGACTCATACTTTTGAACTTTTCAGAAAGAAGAAGATAAAGAAACACACAGGCTCATTGAAAATATAACACACAAGGTCCAAATTTAAATTTCATTTGAGCTTAAACACCGCAGTCCCCATGAAGTACCTAAAACTTTGTTATCTGTCAAATAACAGATTTCTAAGATTTAAAGGCCAAAAAACATTCCCTGCCCTGCCCCCCACACACCTAAAAAGAAATGTACATTTTGTGCTTCCACATCATGGGTGAAGAATGCCAGTGTCCTCTCATTGTTCCATTAATGTGACAAAACAAACAATTAACCAGAAACTCTGGCAGGGTTCTCCGCAAGGTACAAGTTCAGACAATAGCTGAAGGTATTTCTTTTTGGTAAAGAAAAGAAGTTGCTCTAACTTGAATGAGGGTTAGGATGTTCTTGGCCATGCATGGATTTTGA